GAGGAAAATACTCTCCTTTGATTAAAGGGCAAAGAAAATATTCTCATTTTGCTTTGCAAGATTTTTTCTTAAGAAAAATAAGTGATAAGAAAATATTTAGTTCCCTTCCTTGAAATGATAATTTGGAAAGCTTTCCTAATCCATTTTTACACTCCTTTTTTTGTCTTGTTCTCTTAAAAGAATGCCAGAGTGGGAAGAGAGCTAGCTTTATGTTGGGACTTTGCTTTTTGTACTACAAATCATAAAAGCAATTATTCTGCTCAAAAATAAGGCCAGAGAAATTGTATTGTCTTTGCTAAACAAAGTGTTAACCTTGGTCTCTCTGTGGCAGATTTAAGACACTGTCTTTACACAGTGTTATAACAGAAGTTTTTGAGGTGTATTCGTTGTTTTTTTAAATGTATTTCTTTTCTATTCTTATATGTTCATATTTCTTCTCTGACCAACTCAACTGAACATTGTATCAGTGCTGACGGAGCTGTTTGGAGGTAGGTGACAGAACTGTCACCATATCAATCTCACCATTAAGCTGTCAATTCCACAGCAGCAGTTGGAAGTGAATCAGACACTTCCACTGACATTCTAACCACAACATGTGAAAGACACTTCTATTCTTTTGGATGTGCAGGAGACACTTTCATTTACAGAAAGGACCTGCTGATACTCTTGTTGTATTGCACACAGGGATTAGTCAGACTCTTCAGGGAAATCAAGGGAAGCTGGTGTCAGTACAAACTCTACCTCCATCAGGTTTCAGCTGTCCCAACTGTCTAGCATAATTGCCCATCATGGTTAAACTTCCAGTATGGACACATAAACTGAACACTTCTACTGACATTCTGCTGTTTCATTGATCTTATATCCCCACCCACTGTCAACAAAATTTTATGAAGACGGTGTCAAAGTGAAAGTTACTTTTCCATGATTCATAAAGATATAAGGATGCAAAACAGCTATCCTGTTTCTTCTATTAAGAGTATAACATTGAAAGCATCCCACTTCCCCTTCATACAGAATGGTGCAGACTGCTTATTCATTCTGCCCATTTTCTTGCATCAATATCTATTCCTACACCTTTTTTTTTTTTTTAGCTTTACTTTATGCATTTATAAATCTTCTTTGATGAGGGTCAGGACCTGCTAACAGCAGATGGATTGATTATCTTTTATATTCGGGGCCTTGCTGTACCTGGGATAACAGAGTTCTGACCTATGTCAAGATATGGCAGTAGTAAAATCTAAATAGGAAATAATCAAGGACACTGCCGCTAGAACAAGAAGTTCCCATATTCTTGGCACAAATTTAAACCTTATAATAGCACATTAAGACCTGAAAACAGTGTCAGTGCACACTTATATGTGATTCTTACACATGGAGCTGCTGTTATAAGAGGAAGATATGAATACTGTAAGTAGGCTATACAAATGGGAGAACTATAAAGGAAAATTTGAGGTCATCAGCTCCTACAACTATGAACTCACATAAGTATATGGAGACAGAAGTGCAAACACTATTCTTAATTCTGGTTCAAGACAGTCTGCATTAGTCAGGGACAGTTTTATAACAAGAATGCAAATTCGGATTAAATATTGTTATCCTCAAAGATGTTCTTAAGACAGGTGAAAATATTTGTTTATTTAACTTTGTACATATAGATACATATAAAATCTGTCTCTGTGTATGTATGTGAATAGGCATATGCATATGTGTATATATGGATATGTGTGCATGCGTATATCTCTGTATATTTTGCTTATATATGTATTCTTACATATATAGGTGTGTGTATATATATATACAGTCTTGCACAACCCATAACAACTAGCTTTTGCATATAGCATGTTTATCAAAATGGATAAATATTAAGCATGAAGTTGATGTCTCCAAAACTGGTTCTGCCTGATTTTGAAAACTACTTTTTTCCCCCCCTTTTTTTTTTCTTTACTACAGTTGTTATTTTTATTAATCTCAGGAAATTAAAAAGAGACTGAAAATGCATAGGGTCTGCATCTGAAATCACTGGAAGCATGAATTACAGAGGGAAGTTATTTCTGGCATGGTGCTTTTAAAATTAAGCTCTAGATCATTTGTACTCTAGCAGTATAAACAGATTTTACCATTTTGTATGACTTTAAACCAGTATTTTGTATGAGAGTGAACAGTCTCTCAACCGTGGAGATGAGACAAAACCTATGGAGAAAGGAAATTACAGCATAATGGAAATGGTGGCCGGGTGCCATACCACCCTGGGCTGTGAGCTCATCCGAACAGAAATGCCAAGCTGAGCTGATTTGGTCAGTGCTTCGACTTGGGATCTCTGAGGAAACCTTCAAGGTTGCTGGAGGAAGTAGTGGCGGCAACGTTGTAGGTGGTACGCTCTGTTCTCTAGTCAGCATCGGGTCAGTAACCCGTGTGATGGGAGCCAGCAGGATTTCCTGGAAGAGTTGTGGGCATGATGTGAAACCATGGCCCTAAATATCAGGGATTATTTACAGGCCACCATGGACTTTGTGTGAAAGGTAGAATTGGTGACCTTGGGGTACTAATCACATTTCAGTATCAGTCTTTCCTACATAATTCCTCAAAATTATTCCAATATTTGCTCCTCCTTGGGGCAGCAGAATAATGTAATGCCAGGCTGCTGGAGTACTGAAAAAAGTTCAAACCCCACTGAAACAGACTTTCACTCTAAATCCTGTCATTAACTTTTTGGATCATACGTAGAGTCTTTAATGTAGGATTGCAATAGGGCTAATCTATTTTTGAAGGAGCTCCTCTCTCTTTTTATGCATTTACCTTTAGGGCAAATCTGCTTTTGCCCTTCAGCTGTAATCACCAGCCATTACTCATAGATGCTGTCAGGCCCCGTCATGCTCTCAGAGCAGCTCGACTCCACACAGTTTTCCTCCCCAACCATGGTATGGTGAAGTGACACTATGACATTACATTCTCCCCAGAAACAATGACATGAATCTGATTTATAACTGGTGGTAAAACTTTATTATTCAAGTTTAGATGTAACAGACATCTTTGCTGCCTGAAGATTGTTTGCATAAGAAATACACCAAGAACATGTTTGTGAGTAGAAATGAACATGCACTATGAAAACCAAAAAACAAAACAAAACAAAAAACCCAAAGCAAAACAAAAAAACACATCCATGTGTTGTAAGGACAAAACATTAAGAGCCAACATTCTAGAGTCAAATCAGGGCTACAAGTTTAATGATGGTTTTTAGCAACATGAAGTCATTCTTTATGAAGTACTTTTTTTTTTTTTTTTCCTTTTCCTGCTGGTGAATTTTCTATAAGCTAAATTTACAATGGCATTTTGAGATGTTTCCTTTTCTCCTGTTCTCCTTTTACATAGAGCTCAGAGGCAAAAATGATAGGAATGGAAAACTGTGGTTGACATTACAATGTTTATTCTAAAAATTTTACTTTCCTAAGTGTACTTAAAGATCAAATGAAACTGGTATTTATCTCGCTGTCAGCAATTAAATCATTGTCTCTTATCCTGTAGAAAGGGATAGATTGGGGTATATGTGATTACTATACAGGTAGCATCTCATCAACCGCCAGCTTTCCGGAGCTGGCTGAATGAAACCAAATTGTGAGGCTGGGGGTAGGGAAGAATCCTGTTCTTAGGTGAGGAAATTACGTAAATCATTCTACTTGGCCCATCTTAACTTTATAGAAATGTTAAGGAGGGATTTCTCACTTATCTATCACATTTGGGATACGTCGACAAATTGCTCGCTATTCTTTGCCAAGCATAACTGTCTCCACAGAAGCAGAAGGAAATATATCTACCCTTCTGGCTGAACAGAAGCGAACTTCTAATCTCTTTGGCTTTTCCTGACCAGTACTAGGAATTAGCATGTTAAGTCAGCCAAGAAAAATCAATACAGGAGCAAAAATGGGAATATATTTACATGTCCTGGGCAAAAAGCAGATGGTAGACAACATCCTTAGCACATAAAGCAAGTAGTTATAACTACGGAGCAACAATGTCCGGTCCAAAGATGGACTTGAAAGTCCATCCCTGAAGTGACTACTAATCTATGGTTGCCAAATCAGATCTCCCCACTGCACAACCACTATGTTTCATCACTGCAAACAATTAGCATCAGTCACTTTTGTCCTGCTGCCCCTCTAACTGCAAAAATAAACTCTCATGCACAGCGTGCCTTAACTGTTTGAGATGTATCTCTATTCTCGCTCTTTAAACTGTCACAATACACAACAGTGCATGCTTTAGGCAAAACCGAGATACAAGTAGCTAGGGCTCCTCCCTCCTTTTCTGGATGGTCCATGAAAAATTAAGAGGGGGATTTCATCAGCACAGTGGCAATTAGGTGCAACACTTCTGAGTTCCCCACCTGAATGCAAACCGTGCTCTGGAAAGTCTTCGTCTCCTGCTGCATGAACCTAGGGGGCAGCAGCCACGAAGCGATAGCTTAGAGACAGTCCGGTTTGCAGAGGATGCTGCATGAGAGAGTTCCTGCTATACACAGTGCTAATGGAAACACTCTTCCTCTTCTGCAATCTGATTAATGACAGGCACCACGAATCCTCTGGTTTTTAACCATCTACTTACATTGTGGTCCAATTTGAGACAAATTTTAACATCTCAAACTACCACTCCTTAGTAAAAGATGTACAACAAGTTGAGAACAAAGAATGATTCTTTGAAAGTTTAATTTTGGTGCTGTAAGTTGATCAAAAATGCAGCGGGTGCAGGAATTACTTGTGTGTGCTAACATTGGTTTCTACCTGAGAGTTATTAAATAAGATTACTCTTTTTCAATGTGAGGATTTAATTTTTTTTTTTTTTTTTTTTTTTTTTTATTCTAAATGGAGGGGGGTCGGGAGCTCAAATGCAAGTGTATCAAAGGCACTTAAACTACATTTCAATGGCAGGAGTCACAGGACTAGAATGAGAATTTTCTATGCCTGTGAAAGTGAAGAAAGAAACAGGGTTATTTTTTTTTTTTTTTTTTTTTTAATTAATATCCAATGTGAGGGGGTCTGGAAGAGGGATGGAGCACCTCTCCGTTACAAAACAAAACTATGCTCCCCCTACCCAATCAAAGAGAACAGGCTATGGCAAAATCCCATTTCTTACAAAGCAGAGATCTTAGAACATCTCAATATGTCATGGCAAGAACAATGAACTTTTTTCAAATTTTATTTGCACCATCTAGGTGTGCAGTATTAATATTCAAAAATCTGTCTTGTTCTTTGCACTCATAAGATTTCATTTCTCCTCATCCCCAAACCTTGATATGTGTATTTCCTGTTATTGGCCTCTGCTTCTGAGTTTAGCAAGAGGTGTTATGAAGTACAGGGTGGTGCTCAAGTATTACAATGCGCATGTCCCCCCTAAAATATTTTGCCATGAAGATGCAGCTTCCATCAATGAAGAAGCCACAGGAACTGGTAGGTTTTAGAAGAAATAAGTCAAACCAGTAACTACCGATAACTGGCAGCCAGCTACCTCTGAAGCTGATAAAAATCACTGCTTGATGAGTCTAACATGTTTCTTGGAAAAGCTGAAAAGGACACACACTGGACCCTGACGTAACAAAACGCGGGCAATCTATTTCAGTCCCCACAGAAAAAAAAAAAAGAAATAAGAAAATACCCAACAAAAATAAATCCACAAAAACCAAGTCAGAACTTATTATTGGAGAACAATAGTAAAAACATAACCAGACTTTGTCTGGCACTGGTATCAAGCAGGAGATTCACCTAAAAAATAGAAGAAGAAGAATGTGGCCCAATATCCTTTGCTAACCTAGAACACTATTGAAGGGTTATAGAACTCAACCATGAACAGATTGAGTGGGACTTTCCATATGCTGCTCACCAGTATAGAAGCAATGGGTGGAGCAGGAAGGAATGCAAGCCTAATGCTGAACAATAGCCTGTCTGTGCCTAACAAATCAGAGAAACTGTGCAATAACGTTTCATCTGTGTGAAACTGTAACACCTAAAATACTGCCAAGGTCAGCAAGACCTTTGGTGATCAGCTGTGTAAGTGCTTCTCATGCATGGTGATGTTCATTGCCGGCTGCTTTAGGCACATCATTTTTCAAAAGACTATCAAAGTGCTGAATGTTTAGGCCAGTTCCTCCCTTGGTTTTCCTTTTGCCAACCCCTATTAGACATTTCCTATCACCTCTCCTTTCATCTTCCACCTCCCTGTCTATCTGGTTAAGTATCTTATAAGTGCACCAAATCCTAGAAGGGAGAGTGGTGAGATTCAGGTAAGTTAAATACAAGAACTTTTTTTTTTTTTATGATGCTTTAGTTTCAATTACATGAAAATCTGAGAAAGGCGGCATGTAAGTGAGATCAGAATAGGACCCTTTACATATAATCTCAAGTGAGGACTTAGTCCAGAAATATTTTTATAGAACATTTTAAAAAATAAAATGCATGAATGGAGAAATAAGAGACAACATAATATCAGAAAGACATTTTAAACTTCATTCGCTGCAACATTCATGAACCAGCTGAGCTACACCTGCCATCCAACCATAAGGAACTAAGACCCTGCACTGCGAAAAAGAAACAAACCCAAACAAAACAAAAAAGCAACTGCGTAATATTGTAAAAATGGAGTGCAATGCTACTACAGAATGCAATAAAACATCAGTGCTGCATCGTCAAACAGCACTTATCAAAATAATTTCTGAAATGTTTCATCTGAAACACAGACAAAGCAATAAAAAGAGGATATATGTTTATCATTTTAAGCATTACAATGTGAGTTAAGAGCTTAAGAATACAAAAGTACTTGGAATGAATAGTGCTACCCTTTTTTTCCTAAGTAGGCATAAAAATATTTTCATTTCCTTCTTGTTTTTCCATACCATTAATATCAACAAATTTCATTCATTTCATGTTATCGTTTACAACTTTAATGCACACACACAGAAAAAAAGATACCTACTGCAATAGAAATAGTTGCTTCATTACCTTGTTTGCTACATTTGCAAATGTAAACAGCGAGGCAGAGCCAGAACTGACTCTAATGCATGATGGAATATCTTTGTTGCATACGTACACTGTAGAAAATAATTATTCAATATGTCAGGCACCATTATTTGAAATGTAATACATTAATATTTACTAGAAAAATAAGGTTTTTTCTATTTGTTCTCCCAACTTCTTTAATGAAATAAGTTAATCTGACAGTGCATCCAGTAGCTTGTAATATCTTCTACATCCCTGTGGCAAAATAATAAACTACTGGTTGGGACACTATAATGAAAATGATTAAAGTCAGTTCTTGTACACCCTTGTAGCAAGCATGGAGGCTCGTCTAACAGCACCTTTAACCAATTATTTAATATTTAGTTATTTAGCCCTATTTCCCTGAGCAGTTATGCTGAGGAGCTTTCCCTTCATGGATAGTTTTTACAAAGCTTTAAGTATTAAAAAGTACTATGAAGACATTTAATGCTACTTAGCAAAAGCTGGTATAAGTCTACTGAAGGGATTGATTGGTATGTATAGCAATGTTAAGCCTGTGGAGAAGTAACCTTAGACTTTAAGGTTTAGAAATGTAATATATTAAAAATATATTAAAATAAAATACAGCAGGTTACCTTGTTCTACGCAAATTAAACCCGGAGTGTGGCTTCTGTATTAGAGACTTCACTTGCACAAAATGGTTTTCCTAGGCTAAAGTGTGCCAGAAAGAATGTAGTGATAAAATGGTAGCTAAAAATCAGCTGAGTCTGAGAAACATCTAGATGAAATTGCTGCCAAAGCTTTGAGGACAAAGTGATCCTAAGGCATGTTGTAGGGCAGGAATATGCCCAAATTAAAGAAAAGAAATGACCTTTTAACATCTGTATATGTAACAAGTCTAGTTCTTATATACAATGTGCATATGTTCACTATACCCCTGCAGCAGTATATACATATACACATCTTTGCACTCTTGCCAGTTATGTCTCTTACACAATAGCAAAGGTATTAATTGTCCGGTAAAATTTTCTCAAGGTTATTCACCATGATTCACTGCATTCTGGCTAGCTTTGGTGGGCCGTGTCCCATATAATTATCTTCTCCCCCTTCTGGCCACCATCCAACTGTTCTTTTTATCTTGGTAACCCACTCATTTAAAAGGAAAAAAAAAAAAAAAAAAAAGGAAAAAAAAGGAAAAAATTAAAGAAGAAAAAGAAAAAACGAACAAGGGATTTAATATTGGATAAGGCATGCTCTCTATATGAAGTGCTTTATAGGTCTTCACAAGACATTACAAGCTATTGAATTCCCATCAAGGAAACCTATTTCTGTTTAATTGTGCTAAGTGCTAAGGTTTACTCTTTAGGTTTTCCATTCTTTTCAGCTTGTGCATTGTTCCTGTGTAGGCCCCTCTGGATGTGAGTTGTGAAGTCATACTTGTCCGTGCAAAGATGCTGGCATATGCTGCACTGGAAAGGTCCACTGTCACCATGGCAACTCATATGCAAAGCATACATCACTTCATCCAGAAAGACAATGCCACAGTGCACACACTTGGTAGAAAGTTCATCTTGAGTACTTCTATCGACTTTCTCTGTTTTTACTACATTCAAGGGACCTTCATTTTTTACATTTGGTGGTGCCTTATTCTTTTCCTTGGAGGCACCGTTTGCAGTTGGCCCAGGTCTGGAATGCTTTATCGCCAAATCTAGAGGAATGTCATTGTCTGATCCGACAGCTGAAAAATGAGGAGGCAGATTAAAGGTGGGATAAGGCACATAGTTTTGGCAAGGATTTGGTAGGCCAGGCACATGACTCAAGTAGTGTGGATTCCCAGGAACAGACAGCTTATATTTACTCCAGAATCTCAGCCAGTCAGCTTCACTCTGAAAGTCATTGTGTACAAACGGAAGTCCAAAAAGTGGGTACTGGTATTTTTCAATAGGGCTTCCAGGTGGTGAATAGTTTGGGTGTTTCGCAGGTCTCATGTATTTCTCTATCGGGCTGCCTCTCTCTGAGCTTCCTTTCCCTTCTGATATCGATGAACTGTTTCCTGGGTCTCCAGTACTTTCCTGAGGACTTTTTATCTGAATGTGCAAAGGTTGCATCCTTTTGTGAATATCCAGAGTTTGGCTGACCAATATTGGCTGCTGAGCAGAATGGCTTTTAGTCAATGAACCTGGGGCCTCATATTTACTGAGGCTGGGAAGCTGAATTTCTCTCTGATGACCTTCAGGTAAATGATCCTCTGACCTCCTCTCTAAAGGACTTCCATTGACTTGTTCCTCACTGCTACCTCTCTGCTGTTTGTTTAGCTGCTCAGCCTGAAGTGCCTCCGGGTTAAGGCGCTTTCTTGTTCGTCTCCTAATGATCTGCTCACCATTGTTCTGCTTAATGATGTTTAAAGGCCTGGGAGTCTGCATGGAACACACACATAATGAACAAAAGGAAAAAAGAAAGACATATTAAACAAATCTGTGAGACCATGCTCACACAAATTTATCTTTTCTTTTGTGAAGAGCTATATTATAGGAGTTTTATAGGAATGACCAAATTTCTACCCAAATGCTGGTTCCTGGCTTGTCATGCTAAAAGTAAACTATGAATTGGTTTATTTTATCAAACTAAATCAATTGCCTTAGACATACTATATCTATTTACTTAAAAAGGCATAAAGTACCCAAGCTGTCAAAGCATTTAATACCCCCTACTCCTCAGAAATTCCAGGGGAAACATGCTGAAAGAGGGTGCTGAGAGCTGGGAATGAGGTGGGAGATGCATGGCCCCATGCACTAGCGTTAACCTATGCACCATGTCACCAGCACTGGTATCGGGCAGGTTTGCCACATTATGACAAGAACTGGATAACACTTACCTTGATACCCACCCCACTTTAACACGGCTAGAAAATGCAAGCAAATACTCAGCTTGCTGACCACCACTGCTGTCGCCTAGCAAAGGGGCTGCAGGTCCACTGTGGTGGTGAGTGGGATGATGGTGGCTGGAAAGGGACTGAGAAAGATGGAGAAGAAATCCAAGGAAAAATGTCTTCCTAAGCACCAAAAGGTCTACGTGGGACTTTGGTACCAAATCGTCCCCCTTTATCCTTACTGTACTTCCTTCTAAATGTTACTGATGTTACGCTAATAAGTCATGAGGGAGAGAAGGCATCACCTGAAGATTGGAAAAAAGGGTCTATAAAGAAAAAAGAACCAAGGAAGAGGCAGAGGCAAGAACCAAGGGAGGACTCTGTTTCCATTTGCTTCTTCCCCACACCAGCTCAGGGTAGGTGGCCTATTTAGATAAGAAGGGAAAATACTTTTGCGTGAAGAAAAAAAAATAGTACAAGGAAGGACAGCAGCCAGGGCTCTTTGAAAGGCCCCTCAACAGGAAGGCCATGGTATGTGGAAAGATGGTGCTGTAACGTCGGTATGTGTTGCTCTACTGGGCAGATGCTAAAACAACAAAAACTACCTAAAAGTCATTCAGTTTGGTGTGCTGGCAGTTGCTGTTTGTCTCATCCAAATGCACACATAATCCTATTTCGGTTGAAGGCCAGAAAAGTACCCCACACAGTATTCCACTTATATGTTTATTTGGCAATTCTCTTTTTTAACATTGTTTTAAAGTGCAGATTAAATTTTGGCCTATAGTCAATATCCGAAACAATTTTTACCTTGAATGTAACATAATTTATATATATTCATAACTTTGAATTAATATAAAAATATCCAGAGCTGGAAGAACGCTCACTCTCTTATTTGTAGGGATCTAGTTTCTCTCTTGACTTGCTGTCTTCCTCTCCTCTTTCACATATTTATTTCCCTGAGGTCGGCTCTTTCTTAATGGTTAACTACATTTTAGGCAGTGCAGCTACTTTCTATTAAAACTCTAAATCAGAAGAAATATACACTTTGATTTAGATTTTTAAAAAGCAAAATTTAAACTTAGCAGAAAAACAGCACCTTGAACCAGCCTCCTCAAACAGATCAAAGTTGAGGCAAAATCATGTTTAGATAAAATCAGAATATCTTCTATGTAAATTCTATGCAAATAAAGTTTACAGTTTGCAGAATCAATAGCCAATTAATCTGCATAAACATATACTCTTTATTACCAGCTCAGTGTAACTTCCTCACCTTTTATGACAATTGTAAAACTGTGATACTGACATGCTGTGTGAGACCTTACAATGCTGTTGATGTTGCTCTTATTAAACTTTTACTTATACACTACAGAACATTTTCATGTGGCTTCCAGAGAACTGTTCAATAGTTTGGAAATATTTCTAGTCTTACTCTTCATGCTACAGGTCTCAGAAGTTAAAAGAGATATCTTCATACCTGTCATCAAGGACCCTCACACACTCATTTGTAGCTCAGGCTCTTCCAAGTTTACATGCCATTAGGAGCTAAAGACTGTAGGTCCAACTTAAAAATTCTTCAGCATGCAAATGACCATACTCATCTGAGTAGTCTTTATCTGATTAAAACAGACTACTCAGCGGAGTAAAGCTACTCATGGTATTTTAACTCATGGTAGCAACATGAAAATAGAAATACTCTGTATTTGATTGTAACTGAGGCAGAAAAGACAGAAAAGTTTAATCTCTCTTCTTGATTTTCAATGGGGCACTAGATTTAGAAAATTGTGGAAACATTATCAGAATTTTACTTTTAAAATGCTCTGTGTCAGATCATTAATTATACGTAATACATAATATATTGAGTATGATTACAAAGATTTTTTTTGCCATCTCTGTATCTGTGGCAATCTTCCTAACCCAAATTTATGAGTAACTTAAAAATTTACAAAATTCAATAAATAGTTCAATAAATTATTGTGATTACACTTTGAGGTGATCTCTTCACCAGAAGATCATGTATGTCTATTCCCAGAATATGCTGTAACTCCTCACTGAAGTAGTCCAAAGATGTGGCCAAGGAATCACTATGGAACGTAATCTAGTTTTCCATAACTGAGTTAGAGCTATTAAAAAATGAGGAATAGCATTACAGTATAAATGGTCACATTCACAGTTCTGGAGAGGCAAGGGATATACCTTTCTCTGTCAGCAAATGTGAATATTAGACATATGTTTGCAGTGAACTGGAAGCATTTTTTTCACTAAAACTATTTTAATAATTGACCATTGGAATATTATGCATTTCTTAACATAGTTGTCTGCACTAGAGGGGAGAAATGTGAAAAACCTGGCAAGTTACATGTAAATGATCCCTAAATAGGCAAAACATTTTTGAAAATATGTTGAAAAATTATTCAAGGGTATCATAGAAATGAAAATGTGACTTGCAGCAGAATTCACTACCATGTTAACATTTGTCAGTCACTACCACCTAGTAGTATCTGACAGACCACAGATTTTTCTTATTATTAAATACAAGTAAAAAAGGGGCCTCAGAGATAAGTGTATTACACACATTTTTGAGGTAGCGAGGACAGTAGTTCTGGATTGTGATAATCCAATCAAAAGGGAGCTATGAAATGTGCAAACCTAGTGTAGGCGAATTTTACTGAACTGTGCAGCACAATTTAGTTTTAACTGGGTGGCCCACAGAAGGGAACAGTTCTATTCCCTTGAATTTTTATAGTTGCTGACCTTTACCTAATAACTGAAGCATCCTAGACTCTTTAACTCGAAACCAAACATGACAAATACTTGCTGTAATTTTTCATGAAGAGATAGCTAGCTAGACAGGCAGACAGATAAAAGAAACTTTCATCTTTCTGGTGCCAGTCTGAAGAGCATCCCTTTGCATGGGACTGTTTCAAAGGTGTCCCAAAGGAGAGATTTGTTTGATTATTTCAGACTCCAAGTGCTATCGTGCCACAGCAGAGTGGAGGCTTAATTAAATTCTTTGTGTTTGTTTGGTCAAAGTCCAATTGAAGATATTAATGTCAAATGTCCACTGAATGACAGCTTATTGCCATGTTTGAACAGTGGAGCTAAAAGATAGTTTCAGCTTCTTGCTTTCTATATGCATAAAGTTTGACATTGTATTGCTAATTATTATTGTCGGAAGCACATGAGTTTATTCCTACTGGTACATAAGAATTTTCTGAGCTACGTGTTTGAATACAAAACTGATTCTTGTAGCTCTTATCTATTCAAGAAGTTATGCTAATAATCACGGTAAGGTCCAACACTATAGCTCAGAAAAGTATATTTAAAAAAGGGAAAATGAATGTGAATGGAAGTTCTACAAACACCTGGACTCAAATGTCAATTTAATATTAAAAAGGCAAACTGTCCTCCTTAAACTCTTTGTGGATGCTTACCACTGATCAGTTTCCTTGAATTAGATGTTACACCTAGAACTTTTGAGAGATCTCCAGGAAGATGATACTTTCAGCAAAACTCGGCCAGGATGCTGGCCAGAGATCGTGCGTTAGTCCATCTTCTCCTGCTCAGAGGTTATCTGACTAACTGGGTTATTCTGGAGCTTAAAAACAGTTATTGACCTCAGAATGGCAGCACATGGCAAACAGAGCTAACCTTTCAGACTGGTGATGGTCTTGCTGCTTTCGAAAATTGGATTCTTTATTATTAAGTGGGCTGGCTGGACAGTAATGTGAATAAACAGGGTTGTTATATGGCCTGTACACAAGACCAAGGGTAAAATTCACAGAAACTACTAATTGATTTAGAAGCTTATGCCTCAAATGTAAGAAAAATAGGCATAGGCTCTTGGGAGTCTCACTGCATTTGAAACAGTTTCCTAAGTGACTTTTTTTTTTTTTTTCTGAAAAGGGAATCTCTGAAAAGTTTTAAACAATATGCACTCTCAGCCACAATACAGATTTCCGATTTGGGCTGAAACCTGGATTATCATGTTGCCTTGGCAAACTCCCAAAGGCTGCCTCAGTTTCTATTTCTGAAAAATAGTAACACTTTTTAACTTCATGGGAATGTTGTAAAAATTAATTAATTATAATAAAATCTTGGTCACCTGCCTCTTCCATGTGCTTCTATTAAAGATAGTGGGGATAATATTTAACTAGTGGGTCTTAACCTAAAAGATTCTGAGCATTTTGGCACCGATCCAAGGAAACACTTAAGCATGGCTTTCCTGGACCTGCACCAGAGAATTCATCATCTTTCAGGATCAAGCCACGTGTCGATAAGATGAAAAGCAATATAGACAGTCCATGATTATTACTTATTCCCTGCCTGATCCTGAGGGATGGTGAATCTTCCCCTCACCAAGTCATGTGTGCCATCAACTGAGTTATCTTCCTTGTCATTTCAGAATCCTCCAGCAGACTATAAGAACTGTAGAAAAAATAAAAACCCCCACCACTCCATATCACCAGGAAATTACTGTCAAGAATAAAGCGGGGGGAAGAGAAGTGAAAGAAAATAAAAAACACAGCAAGGGATATTTTTGATATAGATATGATGTCTAACTTTAAGAACTTTTTTTTTTTTTTTGTTATGAACATGAGGGCTCTTGAATTTAGAGAGCTTTTATCACAACATATTGTATGCCTTTAAATGGAATTCCCAACAAAGAAATAATTTTCCCCTTATTTTGTATCAAAATAATTAAATGCATCACTGGTGATCTCAAACGTCTACCCACCGCATCCCAGCCTCTTTCATAATGAATCACATCTGATCCCAAAGTGACCATACTGCAAAACCCTGTTAGGAAATTAACTGCAGGCCAGGGAGTGGTACTAATCACACAACCCAAGAAGACCACAGCTGCCCAGTGTAGCTGTATAACCCCTTTTCTTTCTGAACAAACCAGTAAGTTCTTCCTACCGAGTGAAGCTTCTGGTAGAGGCCACACGCATTGCATACATATCCACCATTTGCATTCTTTCGCCAGAGAGAGGTCTTTGTGGTCAGGCAATTGGCACAAAAAACACCCGAGCCTCTACGTCTCTGAAATAGGGAAGAAAAAGAAAAAAAAAAAAAAACACAGAAAAAAAAACAGGTCAGAGGTGAGTCACATGAGCTGCGGAGTTAGGACAAATCAACACAGGAGTTTTGTCTCTAGACTGGCAACAATGACAGTATAAAACCACACTGCCCATAATGAGGTCAGGTTCAATTGTGCTTAATAGGCACCACTGATTTTCATTATAATTAACCCTAGAGTGATGGATGAGGTGTGTGAAACACCAAAGCCTTTTCAGAGTAACAGCTTTAACTTTTTGAACTTCAGGTTTTGTGCATTTAATGATGGTTTCTAAACAGCAAATTCTGAAAAAACCTGAGAACACTCCGTAAACTTCTCCTGGTTTGTTCATCGCATTTCACAACAGTATATTTCTTTCCAGTTTGCTTGATTTTATGGTGTGATCAGTAACAAGAATTCTCAAATACCACCACTTTAATTAATTACAGTCTGTATCTGCATCATACTAAGTCCTTTAACAGAGATTATACTTCATTAATTGAATACATGATATTCGTTTCCAGTCTTTCCCACTTCTGAAAACAGTGTAAGCTACCATGTATTTCCCACAGCCCACTAAGAACAAGGAGTAACCTCTGCCAAACAAATAAAAGTACAATATTTTTAATGAGACCTCTTTTGGACTTCACCCGAAACCCCAGAAAACACTGTCTCATCGATGAATAGATTTATTTATTTTATTTTAGCCAAGCAAAGAAAGGCACAATGCAACTTCCCTAAATACAAATTGATTTTTAACCAGACTGAGCTGTGCATTCATCAGCTTTCATAATCATCCAGGAATATTTAAAAGTAGACACGTTTATGAGTACTGCTTGTTAAATTCTTTCTACAGAGTAATGATTTCGTTAAACTTCTCATTTAAACAAAAGTCAGGCTGTGTTTGTGGGCATAAATACTAATAAGCAGGAAATGGAATTCTTTTGCTGAAAAGAAAATCTGAATTTCAACTCTATTCCTTTTTTGCAAGGGAAGAAAATCAATAAGAAACCTTCAGCATTGGAGATAAGAACGGGTGAGTACAGGGAAAAACAGCCTGGGCAAAACCTAATTTTATTATAAATTTAACATTGCTAAAACTATAAGTCAAAATTTCAGGGTTTCATAAAATTTAAGTAATTTATTTAACTTTAGTCCATACTGTAGAAGACTGGTGTTCATGCCAAAAAAATACAATGGTTATAATTGTACTCTGATACATTTCAAATGGAAAGCTTTCTGCAGACATAATTTTGGCTTCAAGACTGGAACACTTTCTTGGCATTGAAAGGGCATTTGATTCATCGGGTGTTTCACAATGTATCACTAAAAAGACCTGGTGAGCAGCCAGTTCCCTATAGGGTAATTTTTCCATCCAGATGCAAGTGCTATCAGAGGCCCTCGTCAGCTAAACTAATTATGATCTTGCATTTGCTGATGCCTGCTCACTCTAACGTTCGACATCCTCCATTAATCATCAATACAAGGAAAATGAATGAAACGTAAAGAAACGAGGGCTGGTAAGCTGCATAGCCATAAAAATCTGAAATGAGCGCAATAATTTAACAAGATTGGGGAAATGTTTTTAGTGAGCACAAAGTCAGGCTAACAATTGCCCTTTTAAACCAAGAACACAATTTCATTAGTACAGCAGGTTGTGATACTTTAAAGTGATACAGTAAAACCGAGATTGTCGTCAAGATAATCTTTCTCTCACCCCCTTACTTCATCCCCCACTTTGTCTCCTAAATCAGAGGCAGTAATACTACATTTTTCTCAATTTGGCTAAAGGGAGAACTAAATGGTAGTTGTTGTCCTTCAGCAAACATCTAACTAGTTGTGTACATGAGACGCAGCTCATTCTGGGAAGGCACACTCATCTACAAGTAAATTGAAGCTCCAAATTCTTTTTGTGGTTGCATGTCCTTGCACAGCTTCACCTGGCTGCTGAGCTACTTTCCTTAAGAGTGCAATAAAGCTTCACTCAACTAACCCAAATTTGGTCCACTTCAAGTTTCCAAGTGGAAATGCCTGTATATGGCCAGGATTCAGATACAACTGCTGAACCATTCCTTTCCACCCCTACTTCTTGTCTGCTGGCCTATGGCTTCTTGGTGTGGTGTATTAACTGAATGGAGTCTCAATCTGAGTCAGTCTTTCCACCCTTTCATTTCTGTTTGCATTCCTTGAGTTTGGGAAATACCTTCTACAAAGTCATGGAAGACTTTTAAAATATATGGAGAGCTGTCTAGTTTATACACTACATTTGCACACACCTAAATGCTGACAGAAGGTGTAATAACATTAAAATCTTCATTGAATGCTATGGAATCTTCATATGAATGCTATGCTATATCTTTAAAACACTGGCAAAAGCAATTATTTTTTTGTCTCTTTTAAAGAAAGATCTGATTCACACTAGGCATTAATTGCAATCAGATAATATGAATACAGCGACAACAATCTACAAATTACCTAGCAGTAGCTTTACATATCAGAAACATATACCTGTATTTATTTAGTACTTACAAACTTTTTATCTGTTTAAAATTTCAAAATAGTTCAGCTAAACATCCTTCCCTAAATTTAATGCAAAGTATGTAAATTCGTCCTACATCCTGTTCTAAGTGTTGCATCTTATCTTACTTTACTTTCCTGATCTCTCACTTCTGTATTGTTTAAGGACCTTACAGGATAATCAACAATGATTATTCCCCTACCTAAGTATTCCAATATAGATTACATATACTAATGAACGAAGAACTAAACCACCTGTGGAAAAACTGAAATGCTGTTACTCTGTTGGGCTTTTTGGTTATGAAAGAGCTTTTTACAGTGGGGATAAACAGCTTTAGAACAGATATCCTGGGGTGAAACAGGACTGTGGAAGAATTGGACTAAATATTCTGGACTCCCAGATCCCACTAACCACAGAACTGACCTGCTTGTCAAAACATACCTGAGAAATTTTGATGATGTCTGCAAGAAAAAATGGAATCTGTTTTTAAAAGCCTACAATGTCTGTAGTACTCTTCTCTTAAACCAATAGTTTCTTAAAAAAAAAAAAAGAGTAAAAAAATGTAGGCCTTTACTTCCTGTATACCAAGTTTTATAAAGGTTATTGGCCACAAAAAAATATCTAAATATTGATTTTTGTGCTAATGTTAATTAGTGATGAATCTTCTACTGTTCGTGATGATACTTCTGCATGAGTATCTGGCTTTGCATATTCAGCTTTTGTACTATTTAATAATAATGGCCAGTATTGCTGTTTTTCCAGGTAGACTTGCAAAGGAACAGGCACTTGAGCTCCAGTTCAGCAAAATCTGTGCAACAGCTATGGCCCACAGCCTCCATAAAACCCAGCCATGTGTTCAAGTGCTCTGCTAAGCACCACCCTAGACAGCATTTTCAAGAAATATGTTATGGAACCTTTTGTTCTTTTTAATGTGAACACATACTTATTAGATTTAAATAATCTTTTAAAATGAGCCCAGAAAAGGTAAATCAACAGAACTAGTCATGATAGCCACAGATAAAAAGGTTTCAGTCTGCAATCAATGCCACTAGCACTAACTGGAGTTATCCATGAAAATTTCCTGTACATCCTTGGAAGACTAAACCAAAAGGGCCTAAATAACTAAAAGATGTAACTACAAAGTCAAGCTTTAATCATCTAGAGCCTTATAACCATTACATTACAATCCCAAATCCTGAAGGGGCCAGTGCAGTGAAGAGCCTGTCTCTATTTCCATTCCAGTTCCTAGGTTTGGGCGTTTAATATCACAGTTGTCTCAAATCACATTGGGCCAAAATTTGGCGCATAAGGCTTTTTTCAGCCCAGATGTAACCTTTTTTTTTTTTTTCCTTTTTGGTACTGAAAACTTTATTTAAATCAGTTCAGCTGTTTATAATTTGAAGATTGGCCAAAACTAGGGGGTTGGGGGGCAGAGGGGATTTCAAGTTTTTCAGATAACTTTCTAACAAATCTACACTCATAGTGGCTTTGCTCTGGGGAAAAAAAAATATGCACACATTTTAGTGTTTTAGTAGTAGCAAAGCAACAAGTGGATTATTTTTTTTTTCATAGCTAAGCTATGAAAGTTTGTAATTATTCACTGAACATGTCTTGCAGATCTCTCTACTAACTGTTTTCCTTCAGTAAGAACCATGCTGAAAGCATGTAATTGCATAACAACCCTTGATATGCAGAGTATTTACTCACATTTTTTATGGTTTCATATCTTGACCGTTTCAAATTGAACAAGTCTGAAACTTGGTATACACATCGTCAAGCCTGAATGCCTAATTTTTTTTTAACTCCTTAAATGATTTTCACTAGTTACCAGTACTTCAGTGAAACAAGGAAATTATTAGTAGTGCTTTCTGCTAAGCAATGAAACAGCAGAGTAAGCCATAACAAGTAATTCACTCAGACATTTCAACAGAATTAGGCCCTTGTTTTTCATAAAAACTGCTTTAAATTTAAGAAGGATGACTCCACATTTTACATTATTTCAAACTTTGTAGCCATGTAGAAGGGTCATTACACTACGCAGTTACACAACAAATATTTTTAAATGTACGGAACTTTCAGTTATTATTTCAATTGAACTTCATGTAGCACAACTATATTGTAAAAGCACAGCCAAAAACACTGCTCGGGAACTGTGGCTTTTTAGCTAGCTAGACTAAGCAATGGTGCCTGACGCTCTGCTAGTGCCAAATACACCCTGTTTTTAAATTTTCTGCCAGAAGATGCTTTTAGAAACTCAAATAGGCTCCACAAGCGTCAGCCAAGCATTTTTCTTACATCACCCTCTTGGTTTGGACACAACAAAACTTGTCTTTTTGGTGATTACTTTCACTTCCCTGTCACAAAACGACGATGTGATGAAGCCTGAGTGGATTTTTTGACCATCTCTGGCTTTCCTACCGTGCCAGAAGCGGAGCGCGTTACAATCACATCTCCAGAACACGAGAA